GTGGCGGAGAAGGGCAGAGAGCGATAAACACCACCGAGTGAAGGAGGTCTGTCTCTGGGTAAGGAAAAACAACTCATGAAATAATCCAAAACGCATGAAATAGCCCAGCTTCTCATTCACAGCAGAATTTGCCCTCCAGCTGCTCTGATTTGCCTTCGTAACAATCAATCGGAGGACGGACTAAGTCCACCACAAGAGAGGCTAGAACAGGGATCCCTGATGTGGTACTTGTGGGCAGGGCTATTTTGGGGCAGGAACGCACAGGAACGGAGTTCCGGCTGGCTCCCAAGTTGGCCACGCCCAGCAGGAACTCATTAGCATAATAGGCCACACCCAACAGCAGAAACTCATTAGGATTGGCTACATTAGGGGTGTGTGGCCTAACATGCAAAGGAGTTCCTGCTACAAAAAAAGGCCCTGGGTTTTGACAACAAACAAGGTAAACAGAATAAGAAGCAAAAGGTGGGTGTGGCTGGATGAGCACACTTCTGGTAACGTGGGGGTGCGGCCTAATGTGCTAATGAGCTGTGCTGTCAGGGGGTGTGGCCTAATAGGCTAATGAGTTCCTGCTGTTGGGTGTGGCCTATTATGCTAACGAGTTCCTGCTGGGCTTTTTCTACAAAAAAAGCCCTGCTTGTGGGCATTGTGGCGACGACACCTTTCCTGGTGCCTGCCAGATTTTTTAAAGAAAATGGGTGGGGCTAGAGGCAATGGTCCCTCTAAGCTGAGTTAGTGTGAGCTAGCTGACAGTTTTTTAGCCTCCGGCTCACACACTTTTGTCTTCGCTCAGGAAGGAGGGCTCCAGAGCAAACTGATTCATGCAGCAGCCAAATGGATCGCTCACAAAGTTGAATCTTTGCTCACAAGACTCCACAGCTTAGAGGGAGCGTTGGCTGGAGGTGGTATTTGCCCAGGATGGCTTCTGATAGGCCACTGGAGATTTGAATGGCTGTACCGGTTTTTAAAAGCAGTGCTTTGGCAGCCGTTGCCGCCACACAAGATGTGCCCTGACCTGGATAGGCCAGGGAAGCCCGATCTCGGCAGATCTCGGCAGCTGAGCAGGGCCGACTCTGGCAAGTACTCGGATGGGAGACCTCCAAGAGCCCTGCTTGTGGGCATTGTGGCGACGACACCTTTCCTGGTGCCTGCCAGATTTTTTAAAGAAAATGGGTGGGGCTAGAGGCAATGGTCCCTCTAAGCTGAGTTAGTGTGAGCTAGCTGACAGTTTTTTAGCCTCCGGCTCACACACTTTTGTCTTCGCTCAGGAAGGAGGGCTCCAGAGCAAACTGATTCATGCAGCAGCCAAATGGATCGCTCACAAAGTTGAATCTTTGCTCACAAGACTCCACAGCTTAGAGGGAGCGTTGGCTGGAGGTGGTATTTGCCCAGGATGGCTTCTGATAGGCCACTGGAGATTTGAATGGCTGTACCGGTTTTTAAAAGCAGTGCTTTGGCAGCCGTTGCCGCCACACAAGATGTGCCCTGACCTGGATAGGCCAGGGAAGCCCGATCTCGGCAGATCTCGGCAGCTGAGCAGGGCCGACTCTGGCAAGTACTCGGATGGGAGACCTCCAAGGAATACCATGGCTGGGAAGCAGAGGCAGGCTATCAAGCCACCTCTCTGAAAAAACGCCCAAGCCCCCAGTAGGGGCTCCCAGAAGTCGCCATGACTTCCAGGCAAGCAACCATGCACACGTGTGCCTGCATACACACACACACACACACAAAACCCAAATAATCTTCTACGTGTGACTGAAGTTAAGCTGCGGCAGCCGTTTTGTGGCTGCGCCCACCACGCTGTGTCAGAATCCCTAAGGCGCCCGCTGGCTGAAAGAGGGCAGGGACCCCTGGGCTGGAAAGTTGCTCTCTTCGTTTTTCAAAGGAAAACGGCCATCTTCAGCCAGCGTGGCCTGGCTCCTTCTCAGACGACATCCTCCGTAATGTGATGGGGAAGAAAACTAGTGAGCTACCCTACCGCTATGGCACAAGATTCCCCTACAGAACCACCTTCCCTTAGCAGAGGTCTACGAAGCTGGAATCCTCTGCCGGTACTAACTCCTAGGGCCAGATGACCTATCGGTCCAAAGCTGCTACAGAAGAAGGAGGAGGAGGAGGAGGAAGAGGAGGAGAAGAGGAGGAGAAGAGGAGGAGGAGGAGAGGAGGAGGACAAGAGGAGGAGAAGAGGAAGAGAAGAGGAGGAGAAGAGGAGGAGGAGATTGGACTTATACCCCGCCCTTCACTACCCAAAGGTGTCTCAGAGTGGCTTACAAACTCCTTTCTTGGGCTTTTTCTACAAAAAGAGCCCTGCTTGTGGGCATTGTGGCGACGACACCTTTCCTGGTGCCTGCCAGATTGTTGTAAGAAAATGGGTGGGGCTAGAGGCAATGGTCCCTCTAAGCTGAGTTAGTGTGAGCTAGCTGACAGTTTTTTAGCCTCCGGCTCACACACTTAACCACTACACCAAAAGAAGGTCACAGCCAATGGTCCCTCTAAGCTGTGGAGTCTTGTGAGCAAAAATTCCACTTTGTGAGCTACCGGCGTTAAAGCTGTGAGCCAGCGCTTTGGCTACTACATAAATTATGTTGCTCTGGAGCCCTCCGCCCTGAGCTAAGATAAAAATGGGTGAGCCGGAGGCTAAAAAACTTGTGAGCTAGCGCACACTAACTCAGCGTAGAGGGAACACTGGTCATAGCCACATTTTGGCTGTACTTGAACGCTGGCCAGCAGGGGTATGAGGCAGTTTCTATTCACACCACCAACAGACCGACCCCACAGCCAAGGGTCAGAAATGCAGGACTTCCAGAACCTCTTTGACAAAATTCTTTTAAAAATGTTTAAAAGTTTAAAAGTTCATGTCTTCAGTATACAGACTGGAAACTTCATTTCCCTCTTGAACGTTCCGGCACCTCTTTCTCCCCCCAAAAAAGCCCTGCTGAAATGGAATGTATAAAGTCTAGCCCCGTTGTTCAGGTGGAGCTTTGGGGGGGTGGGCATCTAAGAATGAGAGTGGGTGGCAGAAACCCCCAAACCCCCATCTTTCCCCCCTAACGATGCACTAATACTGATTTGGCCCTCTGGTTGCCAATCCTCAATAAATAGCGGGCTAAATACAAAAGTAAAAAGCACCCGGAGGCGAAGAAGAGGTGCTAGAGGTGCTAGAGGTGCTGGCATTCGATTTACAAGGACAAATATGTTCATATTTAAAATATCTAAACTGGCAGTTTACTGCTGGAACGGCTCTCACGCCTATTCTAAAGCACCGTTTCTATTGAGACCTGAACAGTGGCTGAGCACAGTCGGGAGAGGCCTTCGACCTCCCCACGCCCCCCCCCATTTTAATGCTGGGGAAACTGAGGCCTGTCTCCGGAGCAGCTAGAGGACTCTTAGCAGAGGCACCATACCTCTGAATACCAGAAGATGCTGGGAGGAGACAAAGCAAGAAGGTCTTCCTCTTCACGCCCTGCTTGGGAGCTTTGGAGAAGGAGAGGGCTGACCTCTGTTGGAAACGAGACGCTGGGCCAGACGGGATCTTTGGTAGCCTAGCAAAGTTAAGCGGCAGAGACAGGGACTCCGGTCTCTGCCCACTCCTTCTGGTTCTAAGGTATGATAAACTCTGCTGTCAGAGGGTTCTGGAAAGGCAATAAATAAATAAAATAAATACGGGGGATGCACCAGGCGCATCGGGGGGTGCAGCGCCAGGGAGGCTGGAATGTACCGACTGCGATTTAAAATCCTCTGGAGGTTATGGCAGTGTTAGAGGAGTCGGTGGCTGAGGGCGTTCATGCCAGGCGCTCCCCTTGAGCGCAAGCAATTCAATTGCGCCAGCCAGCCTTTTACGCTTTGTTTGTAGCGTGTGCACCGTTCCCAGGACCATCTGCTGCACAGAGAAGTTTCTACAGTGTAAATGCACTATATCTAAACTGGCAGTTTACTGCTGGAATGGCTCTCATGCCTATTCTAAAGCACCGTTTCTACCGAGACCTGAACAGTGGCTGAGCATAGTCGGGAGAGGCCTTCGACCTCCCCACAGCCCCCCCCCCCCCTTTTAATGTTGGGGAAAATGGGGCCTGTCCCGCAGCTAGAGGACTCTTAGCAGAGGCACCATACCTCTGAATACCAGAAGATGCTGGGAGGAGACAAAGCAAGAAGGTCTTCCTCTTCACGCCCTGCTTGGGAGCTTTGGAGAAGGAGAGGGCTGACCTCTGTTGGAAACGAGACGCTGGGCCAGACGGGATCTTTGGTAGCCTAGCAAAGTTAAGCGGCAGAGACAGGGACTCCGGTGTCTGCCCACTCCTTCTGGTTCCAAGGTACGATAAACTCTGCTGTCAGAAGGTTCTGGAAAGGCAGTATACGCATTCTCTAAATCAATCAATAAATAAAATAAATACGGGGAACGCACCAGGCGCATCGAGGGTGCAGTGCCACGGAGGCTGGAATGTACCGACTGTGATTTGAAATCCTCCGGAGGTTATGGCAGTGTTAGAGGAGTCGGTGGCTGAGGGCGTTCAGGCCAGGCGCTCCCCTCGAGCGCAAGCAATTCGATTGCGCCAGCTAGTCTTTTACGCTTTGTTTGTAGCGTGTGCACCGTTCCCAGGACCATCTGCTGCACAGAGACGTTTCTACAGTGTAAATGCACTAACATCGGTGGAGTTGTACCAGGGGCAAAACTCACCCCGCTGGTCTCCATTGTGACACTTCCCACATTTGTATACCACCGTTCCCCTAGGAAGCGCGGGGCAAGAAATGTGGAAGTGGTCCTATTTCATTCCCACAACAACGTTGCGAGGTAAGCTTTGCGGAGAAAGAGCCTGACCCAAGGTCATTCAATGAGCCAAGCGGGGATTCGAACCTGGGACTCCCCCGTCCTAGTCCGAAACTCTACCCACTACACTGCGCTGTATTGCTGCTCCATTGTGGCTCACCTCCCGAAAATGGCCCTGCTGATCAGGCCCCCGGACATCTTTGACTGCCAGATCACAAACGTGGATCCGGCCTCGGGGTCAATGGCTTTTCAGGTGCCCATTGGCGTTCGAGTTCATCTCCCGGCTGAACCGACTCCTCCAGGCGTGATATTTCTTGATGGTTTTTCGCCGGGCAAACCGGCAGATGCTAACCATGAAGACCCAGGAGACGGCGTACATGATCACGCCTCCGATTTTGATGAACCACTTGGGCACGGGGGACATCACCACACAGTACATCAGCCAGGCCCCGACCCCGATGCGCACTCCCGTAAAGAGCACTATGAAGAAGAAGTCCACCACGTCCCCCGTGAAGCTGTGGTAGAGCCCTTTCTCCCGCAGGAACCACCGGGCCTGCAAGAGCGGATTGGTGATCTCGCTGCCAAAGAGGACGGCGTTGACCTCCGCTCCTGACTCACCCGAGAACAGAGACACGGTGATCCCGGCAATGCTCACAGTGTGATGGGCGAGCATCAGCGCCCCTTCAGCCTGGAAGTAGACACACCAGCCCAGGTCGAACAGGAAGTAGCCCAAGCTCATGCACATTGCGTGGATCTGCAGAGTGGTGTTCGGCGATCCTGAATGGAGAAACAGAAGTCAAGAAGAAGAAGAAAGAAGAAGAAGAAGAGGAAGAAGAAGAGGAGGAGGAGATCGGATTTATACCCCGCCCTTCACTCAGAATCTCAGAGTGGCTTACAATCTCCTTCCTTTCCTCTCCCCACAACAGACACCCTGTGAGGTAGGTGGGGCTGAGAGAGCTCTGAGAGACCTGTGACTGACCCAAGGTCACCCAGCTGGCTGCATGTGGAGGAGTGGGGAATCAAACCTGGTTCTCCCAGATTACAGTCCACCAGTCTTAACCACTACACCTAACTGGCTGACCTCTGCTGATTATACAAATTCCATACAAGAAAAACAGCACACTAGCCCATCCAAATACAGGCAAACCAATCAAAACATAAAAACAGTCAGCCTTCGGCAAAGAAAAAAAAAATAGGTAGCCAAGCAAAAACTAGAAGAAAATCGTTATCTTTGTAAATTGGGTTTTTCGGAATGATATCCTTTCCAGACAAAAATCGCATTAGTGGGAACCAGGTTGCCACAAAATTATTATAAGCCTTCTCAGAGTATGGTTGCATAGTGCCAATAGTAACTTTTGCCATAACAAAATAAGGCTAAATACAACTAAACCAAGTATCGATGTGGGGTAGCAAAGGATTTTTCCAATGGGCAGCCACCGTATTTCTTGCTGTAGAAAGTAAAATAGAGATTAGCTCATCATGCTCTTTATTTCCTACGGGGTGGTGATGGTATTCCAATAAAAAAAACCTCAGGAAGGAAATTTAACTTTACACCTATAATCAAAAGAAAATCTTGGTGAACCTGTGTCCAAAATTACGCAATGATTGGGCAAGACCACCATATGTGGAGGAAGTCACCCATCTGACCACATTTCCTGGCGCAATGAGGGGAATTTATCGGATTTATTCTATGGAGTAAAGTCGGTGGTAAGTACCAGCGGGTTGTGATTTTTATCATTTGAAATTTTACATTAGAGATTGGAGATCTAAAGGAACGCGATTCCCAATTTTTTTCTCAATCACCTGGCTTAAGTCTGTTCAAGAGATCATGTCGCCAGTTCTTTTGAAAAGGTAACGTTTCAGAACTAACGTTGGTCAATAAAACTTTATATAACTTAGAAATGAGACCTTTTAGGATTCAGTCTACATTAACCATCCCACCACATCCTCCATGTCCACACCACAGATACATATGTCGGCACTGCAACATTGGCTCTTTCCTGATACACAGAAAAGGACTTGCTTTACTACCTCTAAATTGACATTTTTGGTCGCTGCTAAACCGACTGCGGTGGCTCAAGTGGTTAAGACGCTGAACTGCAGGCTGTGGAAGGTCAGTAGTTCAGCAGTTCAAGACCCGGGCTGCCGCATGACGGAGTGAGCTCCCGTCTCTGGCTCCAGCTCCTGCCAACCTAGCAGTTCAAAAGCAAGAAATTGCAAGTAGATAAATAGGTACCACTTCGGTGGGAAGGCAACAGCGTTCCGTGCGCCTTGGTGTTTAGTCATGCCGGCCACATGACCACGGAAACGTCTTCAGACAGCGCTGGCTCTTCGGCTTTGAAACGGAGATGAGCACCACAACCCTAGAGTCGGACTCGACTGGCTTTCGAGCAAGGGAACCTTTACCTTTACCCCGACATTCCATCCAAAGCAAAACCATGAGGACCTACCCGGATAAGACATTGGCCACGGGCCGTCGATGAAGCCAATGTAGCCAGAGAGGCAAGTGGCCAGGACTCCGTGCGTCAGAGTGACCAACCGGCAGCTCCACTCGTAGGTGCGGTCCTTGAACCGGTGGCAGGACCACGCGTAGAGGAAGAACCAGCCAATCAGGCTGAAGGCCACCCGGAGGAACACAGACGTCACCATTCTGTAGTGGGATAGACGGGAGGTAAGAATTAAACCCCTTAAAATTTTCCAAGGACTACTTGCAAGCGGTGTTCCCTCTAAGATTAGTTTGTGTGAGCTAGCTCACAGTTTTTTAGCTTCTCGCTCACAGATTTTTGCCTTCGCTCAGGAAGGACGGCTCCAGAACAAACTGATTTATGCAGCAGCCAAATTGATTGCTCACAACTTTAATGCCAGTAGCTCACAAAGTAGCATTTTTGCTCACAAGACTCCAAAGCTTAGAGGGAGCATTGCTTGCAAGTGTGATGTAGGAGCAGCCAGGGCACTGGATTAGGACAGGGGAGATCTGGGTTCAAATTTCCACTCTGCGGTTTCACCTTGGGCCACTCACTTTCCCTCAGTTTAACCTACCTCACAGGGCTGCCATGAGGATAAAATGAAGGGAATGGTGAATAAAATTGAAGAAAAAAAGAGTTGGATTTATCCCCCGCCCTTCACTCGGAGTCTCAGAGGAGCTTACAATCTTCTTCCCCTTCCTCTCTCCACAACCGACACCCTGTGAGGTAGGTGGGGCTAAGAGAGCTATTTCAAGGACTGCTCTTGAGTGTACAGCTCTGAGAGAACTGCGAATGACCCAAGGTCGCCCAGCTGGCTGCATGTGGAGGAGTGGGGAATCAAACCCAGTTCTCCAGATTAGAGTCCACCGCACTTAACCACAGCACCAAGCATACACAATGTATGTTGTGTTGAGACCCTTGAAAGGGGGGGGTGGTTAAAATTGCGGAACAAGCATCGCTCCAAAATTCTGACCCAGAAAAACCAGGCGTTTTGCAACGTGACTTCGCCTGCAATCCTACGCTTGCGTACCTGTGCCTTCTTCCTGTCCAAAGCCCACCCAAAAGTACTTTATTCTAAGACTAGGAAAAAGGCCCGATGTGGAAATAAATACAACGGCCTCTAGAAAGAGGCTCTGGGCGGGTGCCCCGGCCTTGGACACTCAGTGTCAGTTTGCTGTGGCGACCTCAGCTGGGTATAATGACACCGAGTCCACAATTTTCTCCAGAGGAACTGATCTCTGCTACCTAAACAGTTGTAATTTTGAGTGATCTTCGGCCCTCACCTGGAGATTGGCGATGGTTCCCCAGAAGGGAATAGTTGGTTTGGAGGGTGGCGTCTATGGCTTTGTACCTGTCCGAGGTCCCACGCCTCCTGAAACCTCACCCTCTCCAGGCTCCATCCCTCACATATCCAGGAATTTCCCACCTGGAGTTGGCAACCCTATCTCCTTCCCAGCCAATCATCAACCTACCTTTATTTCCCCCTCACTCTTCAGCTTTCCACCCCCCACACACCTGCAGCCTCTCCCGTGCTCTGAAGCCCTGACTGCTACGTCACATTGGCTGTCATATGGGGGCCACCTTAGCAGCATATAAGGATACAGAGCCCACCATTTTCTCCAGGGGAACTGATCTCTGCCATCTGGAAAGCAGTTGTGATTCTGAGTGATCTCCAGCCCTCACCTGGAGATTGGACGCATTTTACCTCAGAACAGCAAACTGTTTAGAATGTTAGAGGCAAAAGCCAATCAAGTCGCATATGCAAATGACCTCTGTGATCCGAGGCAAAGGCCAATGAGGCTGCATATGCAAATAACCTCTGTGTTCTGACTGGCTGTGGGGGGGAGAGGAACAGCAAACTGTTTAGAATGTTGGAGGCAAGACTCAGGCAAAGCAGCCAGTGGAGAGGGAGACCCTCTGAATGACAGATCAGAGAGCGAACTGATTTTGGAGCGTATGGAATGTTCTAGAGAAGTGCCACCACCATTTGGCTTTTATTTATAAGGGAGATCTGAACTCGACGTTCTCAAGTCTGTTCCTTCTCTTTGCACCAAACAATCCGGCTTTCAAAACAAAACTTGAAATACATTTTGAATGCCCGAAAGACAAGTATGCAAAAGGGGGGGGGGAAATGCCTACACAACAATCCTAAACTGGTTTATCCCCTCCTAAGCCTACTGGCTTCAATGGACTCAGAAGGGAGGAACTCTGCTGAAGAGGACCAATCAGTTCCTTTTGCAAAAAACTGCCTGCAAGACCTGATGGGAAACACATCGGGCAAGAGACAGCACTCGAGGCTGCCAGATATTGTTTACCAAAATCTTAGCACCAGGAAGCAAATGCCTCTGAGCACGTACAAAGCATCGTTCCTTTGTGAAGGAGATGTTTCTTCGCTCGCACAGAGATTGCCTGGTGTGTTGGGGAATCCGGTGGCTTCCATCTCCCCTTGGCTCACCTGCCTGGGGTACCAGCGGCTGGGAGACTCTGCAAGAGAGGTCAGAAAGGGAGATAAAGGCCTGATCATTGCGAGATGCCGTCATGTGCAGGAGTGCAACCTGGCGCCGAAGGAATGCTTGTTAACAGCCAGGCCCAGTCAACTGGATTTTTGCTTTCTGGCATTACGTCCTTCGATGCTGGCAACTGGCTGGGAAGATAATATTTATCGGGGCCAATCAAAGCCTGGCAAAGTAGCAAGTCACCCTTGAAACCTTCCCTGTGGCTCAGTGCCCAGTCTCAGCCAGGATGAGTCCTGACTAAAAAGGTAAAGGTAAAGGTTCCCTTGCTTGAAAGCCAGTCGAGTCCAACTCTAGGGTTGCGGTGCTCATCTCTGTTTCAAAGCCGAAGAGCCAGCGCTGTCCGAAGACGTTTCCGTGGTCATGTGGCCGGCCTGACTAAACACCAAGGCGCACGGAACGCTGTGACCTTCCCACCGAAGTGGTACCTATTTATCTACTTGCAATTTCTTGCTTTCGAACTGCTAGGTTGGCAGGAGCTGGAACTAGAGATGGGAGCCCCCTCCGTCATGCGGCACCCGGGTCTCGAACTGCCGAACTACTGACCTTCCACAGCCTGCAGTTCAGCATCTTAACCACTTGAGCCACCGCAGCGCCTTAAGAGTCCCGGCTACTCATCCATAAAAGAGGAAAAACAACTATCTGCCAGCTCAGAAGTAATACGCGCAGAAAAAGGAAAGGCACCCAGGTTGCACGTTTCACCCCAGACCCGATTTCTTGAGATTTTGGAAGATCTGTTTTGGTTTCTGCATCTTGTTTCCCCTTTTGCAAGGAGCACCTGGACAGTCAGAGGGGGAGGAAGGGGTGCACATGCAATTAAACAGCATCTCGTTTCTTCCTGTTCCTCAGCTTTGGGGTTCTGACCTGGATGGGCAAGGGTAGCCCGATCTCATCAGATCTCCGAAACCAAGCAGGGTCAGCCCTGGCTAGTATTTGGATGGGAGACCTACAAGGAAGTCCAGGCCTGCTATAAAGAGGCAGGCAATGGCAGACCACCTCTGAATATCACTTGTCTTGAAAAGACCCACCAGGGGTTCTTATAAGTCAACGGTGACTCCAAAAGGTTGTGGGAACCTGTGCCTAATTTCTGGTTTTTCACTCTGTTTTCTTTCATTATTTTAACTGAGAGAAGAAGAAGAGATAGGATTTATACCCCGCCCTTCACTGGGAGTCTCAGAGCGGCTTACAAACTCCTTCCCCTCCCCTCCCCACAATAGACACCCTGTGATGTAGGTGGTGCTGAGAGCTCTGATAGAAACTGCTCTTTTTCAAGAACAGCTCTGACAGAACCATGGCTTGCCCAAGGTCATCCAGCAGGTGCAAGTGGAGGAGTGGGGAATCAAACCCAGTTCTCCCAGATTAGAGTCCGTGCACTTAACCACTATACCAAACTGGAAGTTGCTATAATTGCTTTACAAAAAATGGGGATTAGCTTAGCCACTTGCTAGAGAAAGGTGGGTAAGAAATAGATTAAATAACTAGGGAGGGCCTGAGAGATTTGCGGGGGGGGGGATTTCATATCCCTCCCATTGCTGAACGGGTGAGGCTCCAGGCTCCACATCAAACACTGAGCCCAGCGCAGACAACGCAAATATCTTTGTATCCCTCTAAGTATTCTTGTTTGTTGATTTAAGATTTTTCTGCAGACTTGACTGGCCCCAAGTGTGGAGAAAAGTCTCAGCCCTGATCCATGGATTTAGCTATCCGCAGATGGGGGTCACAGGCAATGCTCCCTCTAAGCCGCGGAGTCTTGTGAGCAAAAAATTCCACTTTGTGCGCTACTGGCATGAAAGTGGTGAGCGAGCGATTTGGCGGCTGCATAAATTAGTCTGCTCTGGAGCCATCCCTCCTGAGCGAAGACGAAAAAGGTGTGAGCCGGAGGCTAAAAAACTGTGAGCTAGCTCACACAGACTCAGCTTAGAGGGAACACTGGTCACAGGTGGCTATTAGAATATAAGATTAATTTCTGAAGTGAGACTTGGGGAAATATACAAGTGTATACGAAGCTGCCTTATACTGAATCAGACCTCCGATCTATCAAGGTCAGTGTTGTTTACTCAGATTGGCAGCAGTAGTGGTGAAGTGCGCGGACTCTAATCTGGGAGAACTGGGTTTGATTCCCCCACTCCTCCACTTGCACCTGCTGATGTGACCTTGGGTCAGTCACAAGCTCTGGCACAGCTGTCCTAGAAAAAGAGCAGTTTGTGTCAGAGTTCTCTCAGCCCCAGCCCAACCCACCTCACAGGGTGTCTGTTGTGGGGAGGGGAAGGGAAAGGAGTTTGTAAGCCGCTCTGAGACTCCCACGAGAGGGCGGGGTATAAATCCAATCTCTTCTTCTTCTTCTTCTCTCCAAGGCCTCCAGGAAAGGGCCTTTCCCATCACCTACTGCCTGGTCCTTTTAACTTGGGGACAACAGGGATTGGACCGAGCAGAAGCTCTACCACTGAGCGACAGCCTCTCCAAATTAATAAAATTCCTGTTGAATACATGAAGCTGCCTTCTACTGAATCAGAGCCTTGGTCCGTCCAGGTCATGACCGTCTGCTCAGACTGACCGTAGCTCTCCGGAGTTACAAGCAGAGATCTTTCATCACTTCATGCCCGAGCCCTTTCACTGGAGACTGACCCTGGGGGACCTTCTGAAACAACGTCTTCCACTGTGCCCCAACTTTCCCCTAGCTCTGCTGGATCAGACCAATGCCCTATCTAGTCCAGCATCCCGTTCCCTGCAGGGTCTAGTGACCTGCCCTAGAGAAACCCACCAGTGAGGCTCACAGACAACAGCCCTTCCGTCGACTCCTCCCTGAGGTCCGACTATCTGTTGCCTTCTGCCTCTGAACCCCAAAGTCCCATTTGTCCATGGCAGTTCCCTCAATCTATCCCCAGCCCTCCCTGAAATCCCTCCAAACCAGCTGCCATCGCCAGCCAGTGTTCCCTCTAAGCTGAGTTAGTGTGAGCTGGCTCACAGTTTTTTAGCCACTGGCTCAAGTGGTTAAGACGCTGAACTGCAGGCTGTGGAAGGTCAGTAGTTCAGCAGTTCAAGACCCGGGTGCTGCATGATGGAGTGAGCTCCCGTATCTAGTTCCGGCTCCTGCCAACCTAGCAGTCTGAAAGCAAGAAATTGCAAGTAGATAAATAGGCACCACTTTGGTGGGAAGGTAACAGCGTTCCGTGCGCCTTGGTGTTTAGTCATGCCGGCCACATGACCACGGAAACGTCTTCGGACAGCGCTGGCTCTTCGGCTTGGAAATGGAGATGAGCACCGCAACCCTAGAGTCGGACTCGACTGGCTTTCGAGCAAGGGAACCTTTACCTTTACCACACATTGTTATCTTAGCTCAGGAAGGATTGCTCCAGAGCAAACTAATTTACGTAGTAGCCAAATTGCTTGCTTGCAACTTTCATGCCAGGCAGTAGCTCACAAAGTAGAATTCTTGCTCACAAGACTCCACAGCTTAGAGGAAAAATTGATCACCACATATAGTGGCCGTGTGTTCCACAGGTTCACCACCCCTTGAGCAGAGCAGGGCTTCCTTTTTTGGGCCTTGATTGAATCTACTGCAAAACCTTTTCATGGGATGTTCTAGTAGTCTAGGGGCAGAAGAATTTCCCCACTGATGGCAGCCCTCTCTCCCGCGCCTTCTGCTCTGAAACCCGGGTCCCTTAACGTCAGCGCCGCGGGCTTGGTAAGGGGCCGGCGCTCAGCACATGCTCCGAGGCGCGATCGTCGGCGTGCACCATTGGCCCCCCAGCGCTGGAAACAAATCCCGCGACTGACCCCTGCCGGCGGACCTCATCGCCCTCCATTTCTCCCCAAAGGCTTCGGCCTCCGCGGCCGCTCCCCGCTCCCCTTCGCCTCGCCCCCGCCCAGCCGAGCCCGGGCGCCGATCTTGGGGAGAGCTGCGTGCGCCCTGGGCGAGGTTACCTGGCGGCGCGGCGCGGGGGCCGAAGGGCGAGGAGGCAGGCCTGGCCTGGCCACGGCCGGTGTCCCTCGCCGCCTCCTCCTCCGCCCCCGGGAAGCCCGGCGTCTCTCGCGGCTCCGGAGATCACCGAGCTCCCGGCAGCGGCGATCGCGGGCGGGCGGCGAGGATCCCGGCTTAGGGTCACCTGCCGGCGGGGAGGACGGATGGCAGCGCCGCGGTGGAGAGGAGGAGAGCGCGCCCAGGAGCGCGGAGGGGGGGCGGCGGCGAAGGAGGCCGCTCGGCCCATCTCCTTTTATAGCGCGGCGGCCCCCGTCATGGCTTTGTGCAGGGAAGGGAGAGGAGGAGATCGCCAAGGGGTGGGGGGGAAGAAGAAGAAGAAGAAGAAGAAGAACCACCCCCGTTTCCTGGGAGGCAGCGAAATGCAATATCCGTCCAGGCGGCCTGGCTTTCAAGGGAGCCGGTGTGGCGGCGCTTTAAGGTTGCCAGCTCCCGTTTGGGAAATTCCTGGAGATTTTTTTTGGGGTGGTGGAGCCAATGCTCCTTCTAAGTTGTGGAGTCTTGTGAGCAAAAAGTCTACTTTGTGAGCGACTGGCATGAAAGGGGTGAGCGAGCGATTGGGCTGCTGCAGAAATTCGTCTGCTTTGGAGCCATCCTTCCCGAGCAAAGAGGGAAAAAGTAGGAGCCGGAGGCTAAAAAATTGGGACGTACTGAAACTGACAGCGGTTGCCCATAGGGAATACATGAGTGCCCATAGAGAATAATGGAGTAGGCTTGCCCAGAGGGGATAGTGCAGAACATAATTGCCAATAGAGAATCCAAAATTACCAATAGAGAATCCATGACTGCCCATAGGGAATAATGGAGAGGTCGCTTGCTCATAGGGGATAATGGAGTACATAATTGCCAATAGAGAAACCATGATTGCTCATAGGGACATAATTGCCAACAGAGACTCCATGATTGACCAAAGGCAA